TGGGACTCAATGACTCCTACAAAGGCCTCAAAGCTCAGATTCTATTTATAAAGCCTTTTCCCAAACTTAATGAAGTCTATTCAATAATCCAACAAGAAGAAAAAAGGAGGGATATCTCCATTGATGAATCTGCAGCTTGAAGAATGGCATTGTTATCAAAGAACTATCCAAGGGAAGTAGAGAGGAGAAGTCCTAGGGTCCAAAGAAGGTACTATTGCACATTTTGTAAGATGGCAGGACATTCATTGGAGAGATGTCTTAAGGCAAATAGGGATAAACCTGGATGCACCCATTGCAAGATGACAGGCCATACTATTATCAATTGTTTCAAAATCCATGGATATCCACAAAATCATAAACCATATGGAAGGATACAGGCCAACGTCACCTTCATAGATAATGATGCACCTTTCATGGAACCAGCATAGCAGCAGACTAATGACAGAAACCAAGTTGGTTTAACTCAAGAGCAATATGCTCAGCTGATGGCTCTACTTAAACCAACAACCAGTGAATCTTCCAAACAAGTAGACACATCAAAAATTTCTGGTATTCACATGTCCTTATCTGCCTACAACACAAAGAGTAAGAATGGATCTGTTACACCTTGGGTTATTGACACAGGAACAACAGACCATATGGTCTGCTCACTTTCATTTCTCACCACTGTTAAGTCTAAAGTCACTCAATCTGTCACTCTCCCTAACGGTGCAATAGCATTAACAACTCATATAGGAAATGTTAAGCTCATAAACAATTTGATACTTCATGATGTCCTGTGCATCCCATCTTTTTCCTTCAACCTGATATTAGCCAGAAAACTTGCTCAAACATCTAATTGTTGCCTCATATTCTCTTCTGATTTGTGTTATATGCAGGACCTTTCATCTTGGAGGACGATTGGTCTGGGTGAAGTGAAGCGAGGCTTGTATCACTTGGTGCAAAAGGAGATTTCCCCTACCAGATTAATTCAGGACCTTCCTAAGTTAGTTAACAAAACTACTCTATCCACTTCTGCCGTTTTCAATCAAGATGACTTTGATCTATGACATTTCAGATTGGGACACCCTTTAGATTCCAGATTACATCTGACCAATCTGGATCACAAATTTAAGACAAAACATACACCCTGTTCCATATGTCCCTTGGCCAAATTGCATAGATTGCCTTTTGATATTAGCAATCACAGATCAGAGAGTATTTTTGATTTAATCCATTGTGATTTATGGGGGCCCTGTACTGATGTTGCCTATGCTAGATCGAAATATTTCCTTACTATTGTTGATGATCATAGTCGGTGCACTTGGATTTATTTATTGAAACTAAAATCTGATGTGTCTGTTATTTTACAAAGCTTTTATGCCATGATAGAAACTCAATTTCATTCCAAATTTAAGGTCATCAGAACTGATAACGGAGGGGAGTTCAATTTAAAACCTTTTTATTCTGAAAAAGGCATCATACATCAAACTACATGTGTGGAAACTCGCCAACAAAATGCAATTGTTGAAAGGAAACACCAACACATCTTGAATGTGGCCAGAGCATTAAGGTTTCAGAGTGGGCTGCCTATGTTATATTGGGGTGAGTGTGTCCTAACTGCAGTCTATTTGATAAACAGAACACCTACCCCTATCCTTAACAATAAAACGCCATTTGAGGTCCTATTTAAGACTGAACCTTGTTATTCCAAGCTAAGAGTTTTTGGCTATCTAGCTTTTGCTGCCACACTTGCACACAACAGACACAAATTCGATTCAAGAGCAAGGAGATGTGTATTCTTGGGTTATCCATTTGGTACTAAAAGTTACAAGCTACTTGACTTGGAAACCAATAAGATTTTTTTATCAAGGGATGTGATATTCCATGAAGATATATTCCCTTACAAAGCACCAAGTGACAAGACTGATAATGATTTGTCAACTATCCCTCACCAACTACCAAATCCTGCAAACTTGGCTTTTCCTCAACCAGGCCAAGTCGATCTAGATTTCTCTGCTAACTCCAATCTGCAATCACAACTTGAGCCAGCACAAAACTCCAGTCAAAATATACCCCTTTCAGAAGATAATCAACCCTCTGATCAAGCTGAAATATCACCTAATCTCCCAAGAAATTCACATATGCCTCGAAGATCTGACAGAAACAGAAAAGTACCAACTTATCTTCAGGATTTTATTTGCCAACAAGCTTCCTCACTCATCCATTCACAAGAGTCCTGCAAACAGAAAGGTGCTACAATTTTAGGTAGTCCTTTTCCATTATGTTCAACTCTTTCATATCATAGGATATCTGATAAATACAAAACCTTTCTCGCATCCATGATAACACAATCAGAACCTGTTACCTACCAAGAAGCTGTCAAACATCCTGAATGGTGTAAAGCGATGCAAATTGAAATAGATGCTCTTGAGTTAAATCAAACATGGACTGTGATGAATCTGTCGCCTGGAAATGAACCTATAGGGTGTCGATGGGTTTATAAAGTGAAGTTCAATGTTGATAGAACAGTTGAAAGATACAAAGTAAGGTAAGTGGCAAAGGGATGCACGCAATTGGAAGGGATTGATTATCACGAGACCTTCTCACCAGTAGCCAAATTGGTAACCGTAAGAACACTACTTGTAGTAGCAGCAATGAAAGGCTGGTACTTGCGTCAATTTGATGTGAATAACGCCTTTTTACATGGAGACTTGGAGGAGGAAGTTTATATGAAAGTTCCCCCTGGTTATTGTGTTGATGGAACCTCAAAAGTTTGCAAACTTAATAAGAGTTTGTATGGATTAAAGCAAGCGTCTAGACAATGGTACTCAAAATTGTCTATCTTCATCATTGGCCAAGGTTTTAATCAATCCAAGGCTGATCATAGTTTATTCACAAGGAACACTAGTGACTCATTCACAGTCATTCTGATATACGTGGATGACATAATAATTGCTGGAGATAATGTGAAGGTCATTAACTCACTTAAGGCTTCACTTGATGATAAATTTCAAAGTTAAAGATCTGGGAAACTTGAGATATTTTCTTGGAATAGAAGTGGCTCGATCGACGAAGGGAATTCAGATTTGCCAAAAGAAATATGTATTGGATATTCTGGCAGATTCTGGTACCATTGGAGCCATTCTAACTAAGATACCGCTTGATCAAAATATAAAGTTGTCAAAGGATGAAGGGAAAATTCTTTCAGACCCTGCAATGTACAGAAGACTGATAGGAAGATTACTTTACTTAACGATTACTAGGCCTGATATCTCCTATTCGGTTCATTTGTTGAGTCAGTATATGCAAACACCTAGAATGCCACAC